ATTGTTGTGTGTGTGCTCTTCTCACAGTGCGTGGGGCTTCTTGGATCCCCCCTGATGGTGGGGTCCGAGGGGCTGGGGCCGGAGGATCGCACCGCACCGCCGGTGCAGCAGAGAGGCGGCTCGATGTGGAGCCCGACGCTCTCGCACGGCGTGAGGTTTTTTTGTTGGTCCCCCACAGAGGCCGCTCTTGCGAGGCGCGCCCGGCCTCCGCCGGGCTTCGGCAGCCGCCCCCCCTCTTTTTCGACCGCGGTCGGCCCCCGAGGCATGGCAGATCGGGGTCGGTTCGGGGAGGCTACCCTGCTCGTCGGTCGTTGAACGTCGGCTTTTCTCTGGATTCCCAGATTCCAGTCTACTTTGTGCGCCTTCCTACTTCCAGGGTTCAGTGGTGTTCCCTTTCCCTTCGTCTTCAGGGGGCGGTCGGAAGCCCACTCTGCTTCCAACGCCTTCCTACTTCATGTTTCTGCCCTTTTCTTCCGACCGACGGGACCCTAATGTTCCTGGTGTTTGCTGGATGTTCGTGGGCATCCTGGGGAGTGTGTCCTCGTCTGCTCTGTGTGTTTTGGCCGGCGGAGAGTCTCGTGTTCTTGAAGGATGGGCTTCTGTCCTCGGTCCGACTGTACAAGTAAGAGTGATTCTTCGCCAGAGAGACCTTTGGTTTCGAGCCCATTGGGGTTCCCCGACCGCCGAATGCGATGCGGCAGCAGCGTCTTGCGTGCTTGGGGTCGGCCCCCCGCGGCCCCCCCAAACAACGCCGCGCGCCAAAGGTCACTCTTTACCCAGGGTCACTCTTGCGTGTAGCCGACTTCTCCCCTCAGGGATAGCCCTCAGTCGTTCTCATGTAGACCTCCCAGGACTTGCCTCCTGATCTGTCGGTGTTGCATTGCCGATTCCAAGCCAATATTTCCCCTTCGCGCCAGTTCGGGCGGGGCCAGGACCAGGATAAATCTCTCCTTAGCTTTCCGGAGCGCTCTCAGAGCGTTCCGGAGCGCTTTGGAAAGACCGCGGAGTCCGATATATTTTGCGAAGGCGCCAGATCTCGGAGATCCACTGATGGTCCCGTTCCGAAAGGGTACGGAGAGAATGGGTACAATGCCCAACAGCAGTTCCTGTTCGTTTTGAACAGGACTCGCCCTCCGTGCCGCCGCGGCCTGTGTCCGTTTGAGGCAGAAGGCCGTCTGCCCCACAGCGGCCGCTGGTGGCTTGTGACAGCATTTGTTGTTGGACATTGTGCCCACTCTTTCCGTGCCCACTCCGAGCGTCCAAACTCTGGGGGGCTGCGAAGTTCGGGGGGCCGCGAAGTGAGCACCCGTCGCCTTCTTCGTGGGCTCCTGCGAGGTCCAGCGGAGTTCGGGGGGCCGCGCGCACCCAATTTGAGACCTCGTCTCTCCCTTGGGTGGCTGCGAACTGCGCAACGAGTCGCTGCTGTCGTGGGCTCTGGGGAGGTCCAGTACAGTCAACGCGCCTAGTAAGGACGCGCGCCTTCATCTAGGGTACCCTTGTGTCCTTGCCTCTGAGGCTCGTCCTCGCCATTATCACTGGTCGCCCGCCGCCCTAAAAAACCCAACTTCGGCCTCAAGGGTCTTGCGTCCTTATCACCCGTCCTTACTATACGTTTTGACTGTAAAGTGGAGGGCCACGCGGACTCGCTTGAGACCTCGCTGGCCCCCTCGGGGGCTGCGACGTGCGCAGCTGTCGCTACGCTGGTGGGCTCCTGGGATGCCCAGCGGGGTGGGGCGGATTGCCACGGGCAACCACCTGAGACCTCGCGGCTCCCGGGGGGGGTCGCCAGCTGGCACTTGCCGCCATCATCGTGGGCTCTTGGGAGTTCCATAAAGCGCTTCTTGCGAGACATTCTTCCGTTCCCATACATTTCTTGGCACCGCTACCCCCATAAAGCGGATTCTTGCGAGACGCCTATCCGATGGAGGGCTCCGCTCACTGGTTTGGATGGAGTGCCGAAGTGCCCCTTCACAGGCGCAGTCGTCTTGTTTCACCCTGCTCGCACGCCGTCTGGCGCAAGGCTTCTGACCTGACCTTTGGGGACTGCGACGGCAGCCGTCGCCACTTCCGTGGGCTCCTGTGAGACACGGCGGAGGTGAGGGCACCGGGGACCCACGCGAGACCTCGCGGCTCTGTCGGGGGCTGCGAACCGCGCAGATGTCGCCGCTTTCGTGGGCTTCTGGGAGGCACGGCAGAGGTGGGGGCAGCGCGGATCCATGTGAGACCCCGCGGCTCCCCCGGGGGCTGCGAAGCGCGCAGAGGTCGCTACGTTCGTGGCCTTTTGGGAGGCATGGCAGAGGTGAGGGCAGCGAAGATCCATTTGAGACCTCGCGGCTCCCTCGGGGGCTGCGAAATGTGCAGCTCTCGCAGCTTTCGTGGGTTCCTGGGAGGCACGGCGGAGATGAGGGCAGCGCAAACCGTGCGTCTCTGACGATGTAAATATTCGCCTCGCGTGGAGAAGACGTTGGGTTCCTTTCGGGAAAGTCATGTCCAAACCCTCCTGCGTTGGGTTCTCGATGTGAATAGAGCGCAGTGGTCTCCAAATTCCTCCTCCCCCTCCTCCTACTTCGTGCGAACTTCGCAACTGTCGCCACTTCCGCGGCCTCCCGGGAGACATAGTCAGCGGAGGTGAGGGCAGCGCGGATCCACGCGAGACCTCGCGGCTCCGTCCGGGGGCCGAGAACCGCGCAGCTGTCGCCGCTTTCGAGGGCTCTGGGGAGGCACGGCAGAGGTGGGGGCAGCGCGGGCCCATGTGAGACCTCGCGGCTCCCCCGAGGACTGCGCGATGCGCCACCGTCCCCACGTTCGTGGGCTCCCGGGAGGCCTGGCAGAGGTGAGGGCAGCGCAGGTCCATGTGAGACCTCGCGGCTCCCTCGCAGGGGTCGCATCTTCCTCTGGGGGCTGGCGAAGTGCCCAGCTGCCGCCTCTTTCGTGGGGGCTCCCGGAGGCCCCTGGTGGGGTGCAGGGAAGCGCAGCTTCCTGTGAGACCTCGCGGCTCCCTGGGGGGGCTGCGGGATGCGCAGCGTTCGCCTCTTTCCGTGGGCTCCTGGGAGCCACGGCGGGGTGCAGGGCAGCGCAGATGTCTTTGGGGCCTCGCCATCAATGTTGGCCTCCGGGGGGGCACGGCGGAGGTGAGAGCAACGCAGATCTCTTTGGGGACCTCGCGGCTTCCTCGGGGGCCGCGGAGTGCCTCACAGTCGCCACTCCCGTGGGCTCCTGGGGTGCGCCGCGGGGTCCAGGGCAGCGGGGATCCACGCGAGATCTCGCGACCCCCTCCTGGGGTTGCGAAATGCGTGGCTCTCGCAGCTTTCGTGGGCTCCTAGGAGGCACGGCGGAGGTGAGGGCAGCGCGGATCCACGCGAGACCTTGCGGCTCCGTCGGGGGCTGCGAAGCGCGCCACTGTCCCCAGTTTCGTGGGCTCCTTCGAGGCGCGGCGGGGTGCAGGGCAGCACAGACTGTGCATACAGAGGGGGCCCATGCCAAGAAACACACTGCTTGCCTCCAGGGTGCCCTGGGTTTCTTGGGTTTCAGTGGCTTTTCAATGGAAACCGTGACGTCCCCACATCAAAGATCCATGGACGTCCTGGGGTCTCAGGGTTGGGTTTCTTATGGGAAGTTTCTTGTGGACTGGCCTCCACTGTACAAACATTCGCCTCGCGGCGCAGAAGGGGTTGGTCACGTCTTGTGTAATGTCAATACGGGGCACCAGGAAATCTCGACCCCTGCCCTGGGACCGGCTTTTCCTGCGTCTTCTTGTTGACGGTCCCGGGGCCCGCTTGCGCGCCGTTCCCGCTTGTGGTGCCCATGGCCCTACAGCGCACGCGCACAGTTTCTCATCGGGAGCCGACGGCAGTGGCCCGGCGTGTAGCCTAGGCCTGGGCTCTTCCCCATGTCAGCGTTCATGCCCACGCACCGCTTGGCGCGTGGGCATGAACGCTGGCGCCCGGGGCCCGGCGAGGGCCCTGGAAGGCAGAACATTGAGAACAATCTCCGTCTTGATTATTGTCGATGCGCTGGGATCTATGGCGGCCCCCTGCAGAGACCCCAGCGGGCGCAGGGGTCAGAGTTGCAGAGGCACGCGCAGCGAGTATGTCACGATGCCGTTTGCAGTGCATGTAGCTGGGGCACCCTTCTTACGGCAACCTGGACATCTGGGCCTCCTGGATGGGATTCGCGTAGATGGGGTCGGAGGATGGCGGCGCCGCATCGGCGATGCATCGGCGGTGCGGCTCGATGCGGAGCCCGATTTGCTTCACGTCGACATCGCCGATGCATCGCCGACGTCGCCGATGCATCGCCAGTGCGTCGCCGATGCATCGCCGATGTATCGCCGATGCATCGCCGATGCGGCGCGATCTTCTGACCCCTATCCACTCGGACCCCATCTGGGAGGCCTCCAGTACTTTGGACACCTTTCATGCGGAAGCCTGGAAAAGCAGCAGTGCGCAAGTATGTTGTCTAGCGCGCGCTCGTGCCATTGCTCGTGTGCCTACGGACGCTCGGCTTCATTCGTTCGTTCGGACGCAAATCATGGGAGCCTGGCATACCCTTTGAATTCCGCCTTCAGCGTCGACTGGTGCCGATCAGCGCCTGGGGGTCGGTGAGATAGCTCCGATATAGCGTCGATCAGCGTCGACTTAGCGTCGATGAGCGTCGGTTTAGCGTCGGTTTGGCGTCGGTTCGCACGAGCCAGCAAGATGGTATGGGAGGCTCCCACGAGTTGTCAAAGGACGTTCGTTCGTTGGATCTCTGGGTCCCCTCCCCCTGCTCTAGGCCTCCTCGGTGGGGTCCGAGCAGATGGGGTTGGAGGATCGAGCCGCATCGCCGATGCATCGACGGTGCGGCTCGATCTGGGGCCCGATTTTCTCCGTGCCGACGTCGACGAGGCCTCGCCGACGTCGCCGATGCATCGCCACTGCAGCGAGGCGGCGCGATCTTTCGACCCCATCTAGTCGGACCCCATGTAGTAGGGGGGCCTCCCCCTGCCGCCCTCCCTCGGCGCAGGAGCGATGGGCCGGCGGCGCAGTGGCGGGCGGCGCCGCGGTGGCCTCCCGCAGAGCGATGGGCCGCGCGGCGCGCTGCGGCTATGGAGGGGACGGCGGGGGCGGAAGCGCCCGTGAGCTCGGAGAAGCCTCGTTCCCGGGCTGCTCGCGTTGTCAAACTCTCCGCGCATCCGACCGTCCCAACCCGACCCGAAGGCCCCGATGGCGCCAAGAGCTTGTGATTGTGCAGTTTTGCTCTTTTAGATTCTGGGACTGCTGTCGATATCCGAGGACGTCTCGGGCGACATGGGGCCTCCGCGGGTCCCAGAAGCCGTGCCGTGACGGGCCGCGCGCCGAGGTCTCGTGGGGTTGCAAGGTTGCGGCGCGGTGCGTCCCCGCACGGCCTTGGGACCCACAAGGGGATGGATGGGGGACGATTAGTCGGAGGCGAGCGAGGGGGGAAATGAGAAGGAGAAGGCCTTCTCAGAAGGCGGGGGGACTTCTCAGAAGGCATCCGGCCTTCTGAGACGTTTTTTCTGTTCTCGGGGAAGGCTTGGAAGACTTCTCAGAAATCCCCGGAGCTTCCAGGCCTTCTGAGAAGGCCTTCTCCTTCTCACTTCCCCCCTGGGCGCGCCGCCTAATTAGGGGACGATCGCCGACGAGATCACTGCAGATCTTGCCGATGGGCAGCTGGGGACAAAAGGTGGTCGCTTCGGCGGACAGCTCGCCGTTTCCACTCTTGGGCGGAACCTCCCAAACGCTGAACCATTTGACTGGCCTTCTCTTCCGCGTCGGTGAGGGAGTGAGCGGGGGAGGGGGGCAGGGAGGCAGGAGGGGCCCAGACGTCTAGGGACCCAGATTGTCGGGGTAATTATTATGGAATGGATTTTCTGCCCTTTACACCCGCGACCCACCCGCGACCCACCCGCGACTCCTCCCGCGACCCACCCGCTACCCACCCGCGACCCATTTGCGACCCACCCGCGACCCACCCGCGGCTTACCCACATTGTTTTAACGAAACAATCGGCGCTTGCGGCGGGCTTGTTGTATAATTTGTGAAACTTTGGCGCCTGTGGCGGGCTTCTCCAGAGTCTCGCAAACATTCGATGTCCCCACCACCCCCTCACTCTTATCCGCATCTTCGGGGTGCTACGCAATGAAAGTAATTCTGATAATCAGAGGGGGCCGAACGGTCATTCATTGTCCCTGGTTGCGTGGCTGAAGTCCGGATCCTTGGTGAGGATTATGTCTGTTGCGTTGTTGTTGAATTCTCATTTCTGAAGAATAATTATTGTTGATCCCCTCCACCGGTGCATACTGTTTTTTCTCGATCGAAGTGTGTCCCTCGACGCTCGCACCCTGTTTTTGGACAGGGAAAGTCTTCCTGCTCAAACTTGCCCCCTGGCCCCCGGGTTACAACAACAACGGCTCCCGCTTGAGTTTTCCTTACAATTTAGCCAGGACCCCCGCTCCCGCGCGAGACTTCCTCGCATTTTATTCATGAATCGCGCTCTCGCTTGGGACTTCCTTACAATTATTCAGGACTCGCTCTCCCGGCGCTCTGGAGTCGCGCTCTCGCTGGAGACTTGCTTTCAATTTACTGACGAAGAGCGCCCTTGCGCTGGATTTTTTTTGCAATTTACTCTAGCGCCGCGTTCCCGACGCCCAAGCACCCAGGAGTCGCGCTCACGCTTAGGACTCCCTCGCAGATTACCTAGGAATCGGGATCTCGCTGCCCTTCGTGGCCCCGTTGCAGCCCCTCGTGGCCCCCTCGTTTTGTTTCGTGGCCCCGTTGCAGCCGTTCGTGGCCCCCTCGCTTGTTTCGTGGCCCCGTTGCAGCCCCTCGTGGCCTCCTCGCTGCCCTTCGTGTCCCCGTTGCAGCCGTTCGTGGCCCCCTCGCTTTGTTTCGTGGCCCCGTTGCAGCCCTTCGTGGCCCCGTTGCAGCCCCTCGCGGCCCCGTTGCAGCCCCTCGTGGCCCCGTTGCAGCCCTTCATGGCCCCCTCGCTCCCCTTCGTGGCCCCGTTGCAGCCCTTCGTGGCCCCCTCGCTGCCCTTCGTGGCCCCATATATGTATGTCCTTCGTGGCCCCGCTCGTTCGCGCCTGTGGTGGCCCCGTATGCATGCCATTCGTGGCCCCGCTGTCGCCCTTCGTGGCACCCTCGCTGCCCTTCGTGTCCCCGTTGCTGCCCTCAGTGGCCCCCTCCTTGCCCTCCGCGGCCCAACATAGGTATGCCCTTCGTGGCCCCCGCTCGTTCGCGCCTGTGGTGGCCCCATGTGCATGCCTCTCGTGGCCCCGCTGTCGCCGTTTGTGGCCCCCTCACTGTCCTACGTGGCCCAGTTGCTACCCTCAGTGGCCCCATCGTTGCCTTCTGTGGCACCGCATTATCTGCCCTTCGTGGCCCCCGCTCGTTCGCGCTCTTCGTGGCCCATACCTATTCCCTTCGTGTCCCCGCTGTCGCCCTTCGTGGCCTACTTCGTGTCCTTCGTGGCCCTGCTGTCGTTCTCTCTCGCTTTCGC